TGCAGACCGGTAGTAGGCCCCCCCCCTACATGTTGTTGCTGAGACTAGTGCTGCTATTGCTGTTACTGCAGCGAGCTTGCAGACCGGTAGTAGGCCCCCCCCCTACATGTTGTTGCTGAGACTAGTGCTGCTATTGCTGTTACTGCAGCGAGCTTGCAGACCGGTAGTAGGCCCCCCCCCTACATGTTGTTGCTGAGACTAGTGCTGCTATTGCTGTTACTGCAGCGAGCTTGCAGACCGGTAGTAGGCCCCCCCCCTACATGTTGTTGCTGAGACTAGTGCTGCTATTGCTGTTACTGCAGCGAGCTTGCAGACCGGTAGTAGGCCCCCCCCCTACATGTTGTTGATGATGAGGGTTAGTGGTTCTTTCGTGGGCGAGGCGTTTCAGACGAGGCGAACTGTTCAGGCCAGAGACCTGGTGACCAGAAGCGTACAGGGGGCGTGACGTGCAATTATATTTGTCGTCAGATCTGAAAACTCCGCTGCTGTTTGGAATCCATAATCTTATGAAATGTGCTCACTCATGCTGCGTACGCTGCCGCAGTACGAGGGGTAAAAGACAGGAAGAAAAAGAAGGGCCAGACAGAGCGATAGTCAAAGCGACATAGAGAGCGACAAAGAGAAAGAGAGAGAGAGAGAGAGAGAGAGAGAGAGAGAAAGAGAGAGAGCGAGAGAGAAAAAGAGAGAGAGAGAGACCGTCTGAGACAGAGAGAGCTAGAGAGAGAAAGCGTGTGTGTGTGTGCGTGCGCGCATATGTGTGTGAGAGGAAGAGAAGAAAGAGAAAAAGAACAGAGTTGTGAAAGAAGGTTAATCTGAAAAAATATCACCGGGTATATTCGAAGTGGTATACTTTAAAAGCAAATGGAGTCCTGAGAATACACACACGTACCAAAAAAACAACGCAATTGCAGGAAGCACACACGCACACATGCACTCATACGAACATACGCCCACGACAATTAATTCCTAACTAACTAAATAAACAAAGAACGCTAAAAAAAACTCACCGGATGTCGAAGTAAGGATATCCGAGTAGGTAGATAACTCGTCCCACCGAGTCGCACGCGTGTGTGTGTGTGTGTGTGTGGTGCCACTCACACACCCACTCACTTACTCACTCACTCACTCACTCAATCACTCACTCGCTCACTCGCTCACTCACTCACTCACTCGTGTCCCACTGGCACGTCCATCGTCACCGCGCTTCGTGCGAGCGAAACAGCAGCGAAGTCGAACGAGAGAGAAAGAGCGAGGCTGCTTGTTTGTCGGCGGTGCAGACGATCTACGGACAGTCGTTGTCGGCGTGGCGGTCGCGCACGTTAACTCGTGGCGGCGGTGCGTGAGTACTGGGGCGGGCGGCCGCACGGGGTCGCGCCTGCGTGCGTGCGTGCGTGCGTGCGTGCGCGTGCGCGTGCGTGCGCTCTCGCCAGCGCCGCAGTTCAGTGAGGCGGGCGTGGCGAGGCGACCCAGAATGCCATTTACCCCGTGACCGTACATGACGTGTCGCCGCCGTCGTCGCCCGCCGCGAGCATGCGACGGCTGCGGCGACGATTGCGACACTGATCGCGTCTTCTTCTCTCCTTCTCTACTGCGTCGCTGAACGCGCTTACTGTGTTTACGGCAGAGAGTAGA